AAAAAAAAACAATTTATATAAATGTTTTCATTAACGTTGCTCTTAAAACAAGAAATGTTATTATAATATTAATTAAAGTGTATGAAGGCGATGAAAATGAATAATCACCTTTGATTGACAAGCGGGATACGAAAATAATTTGACTTTGCCAAAATCATCACCAGTTGCTAAAAGCTTTGAATCTCCACTGCGTGAACAATTGTTCACATCTGTACCATCTGCACCTTCTGGCCATATCCCAATTGTTTCGAAGGATATGATACACGTATGAGTTGCCCATTCCACGTCTCTTAATGCAGAAGGTTGTGGAATTTGCCGACAAACTCCAGGATTCCCTACAAAATTTTAAAACCATATTACAAAATTATTTACATTAATTAATACTTAAATATTAGTTAACATACTTAAATGTTAGTAAGAATACTATGTAGTACTTAGAAGGTACAGCAGAATCATTGAAAAAAATATTTGTTTGCATAAATTAATACAGGTGTGGTAAAACTTATTTATAGTAATATGAAGATGTGTAAAAATCTAATGAAAGAATATATTTTTATTAACAATTTCATGTATTGCTTAGAATGTATATGTTAATAAAAAAACTTAATTAATTATTGATAATTAATAGTATTGATTATTAATTATGTTTCCTTTCCTCCATTATGTATTAACTCAAGTTTATAGTATCAAATAATTCATATACGTTACTCCTTATTTTTATAATATATACAATATATTTACTTTGAATGGAATAAATAGTTATTTAACTTACAATACAGTAGTTCATAGTCTCCACTATTGCTTCGTAAATATTGTCCATCGATTGACCAGTCTACATGAGTTATAAAACTGGAATGTCCCTGAAATATATTTCCATATTTAAAATGGGAAAGCATAATTTCTTATAAATTTTATTTATACATTTATCTCAAAGAAAAATATGTATAATGTAATTTTCTTTGAGACGCGTGGAATTAAATGACTTTGCAGCCACGTCTATCAATAAAGTGCCAATAATTTATACAAACAGTGAATATTGTACATGCTTATGGTAAGCAATCTAAAAATGCAAATACCAACTGAATGTGACTATGATTAACTATGATAATACTGCATTATTTTTAGAGACATTATATTATGGATATACTGATAGTCTTTATTTTATATTTATTGTACTATCAAATGATATGTCACTTTGTACTAAGTGTACATCGAAAAGTCATAATACTTTGCATTCCTTTATTCATATTAACCGTAAGGTATTACAAATCCTCAGAACAAATTTGGAGAATTAAAAATCATAAGCTAAAATAAAAAAGATTATTTAAAATTGGTGCGTTTACTACATTTTCTAGTGTAATTAGCAATTGACCACATTTTTAGAACTTTAATGAATTATAAATATACTTAAATTATTCATCATTAAAAATGTTTAGTGTAAAAGCTTTCTATGTATGCAAAATGTATGATTGCACAGTTCAGTAAATTATAACTTCCTTTTATCTTTAAACATTCAATAGATTCTACATTACATATTAATAGCAATGATTGAAGATAATTTGCAACAAACTGGTAGTTAGTGAAGATTTCTTTTAATTGCTCAAAGTATAAAGGTATGCTCTGCAATGTTATCAACTTCCAAAAATAAAAACGTTTTTGTATTATTTAAAAACGATAATGAATGCGAAGTATTATTCGAAATTTTGCAAGAAAATCGTACTTATTCTATGATATTCTTCGTGCTGTACAATATGCAATATATTGAATTGTACAGTAAATAAATATATTTGACATAATTTCTAATAATTCTAAGAAACAGTATTTTATCATCTAACATAGTGTCTCTTTTCCGATTTTGAGCAGCGAAAACATGTCTTACTCTACGTCTTCGTGTCCGCTTTGGCTAAAAATGAAGAAAAAAATATTAAGTAAATTTCGATTGTTTAACATTAAACAATATTTCATTATTTATTGAAATCATTACGTAATGTTGTTGTTATTATGTTATTAATAATACGATTTCCGCATTGATAAAAGAAAATAGCTATTATGCCTTAAATATTTTGAAATTTCTTTGTTCTACTTTATTCTAACGTGTCAAATTTAATTCGATACTAATAAGTGATTCACTAATGATTAGAAACTTATTCTTATTTTTGGTCAAACATTTCACACGCCGTTCCCATAAATAAATAAAGATTTTTGATTTTCATTTTTTAATGCAGGATAATACGAACTAACTCAAATGAATTTGAATGTTACGTTCATTCAACACATCGATCACACATTTAATTGTTTATTTAAAAAAAATACGTAGATCATGTCAAAAGGATGTTTATAAAACAATACGCCTATTAAGTAAATAGATCGCATATGATAACATGCTTAAACATATATTAATCGTTTTTATGTCTGTTATGAATTGTAAATGTTAATGCAATATACATCGAGAAATGTAAATATCAATGATTAAATAGCATAATATAGCAATTTCTTTAACATCAAATTATACGGGGATGACTATTTGGAATTCGCGAGCACGACAAGAGTGTGCAGATACCACATTTCGCTATAAAGTTATTGATAAGTTACGAGAAAAAGTATTTAACACCAGGTTTACGGTTATTTATTGTGAAGTTTATCTTATTCTCCCTAGCAAAATTGCTGTTCATCCATTTAGATCTTGGAAATTAGAGGTTTGAAAATTGACCATTAGGATATGTATTCATGCAATTGCATCAATCAAAATCGACGTGAACGTTTACTAAATAATTTTTGTCGTTTGTTGTCGTTTACACTTGTCGTTTACACGAATTCTAATTAAGGAATAACTGAGTATAATAACATTATGTGTTATTTAGATTATCTGAAAAGTTCGCGTCAATGTATCGTTACATTCTAATAATACTAATTTATAAAATAATATATTTTACTTTTTCTTTATTAGAAACAGGGAAACTGTTATTAAAACAGAAAGTAGAGCTTGTAATGATTAACAAATATTCTATCAATATGAAGTGTTCGTAAATAATCTTGAATACATTGCTAGAATTAATATATTAATTAAAATATTAAGTAACATATGAATCTGCCTTCGCCCAAAAATTGACACGAACATTTCAAACAATTTAATAATATAGTAAATACTTATGTATGCAAAAGCAAATTGTACAGCAGTACAACAATTTTTGTATATTTCAACTTTGGTGTTATATTATGAATGCAAGCAACATTGTGTCTTGTTTATTTACTTTATACATTGGGTTATGTATATACATATATTCCATTGTGTAACCAAAAATAGACATTTTTTTCTTAAAAAAGTAAAGTCGCGTATTTTTGTACTTTAATTTTCTGTAATTCAATTCTGTTGCACTAAAAATTGAATTTGCAACAGTTTTATTTCTTCACCAAAAAATTCGAACACTTGTATTATGAGAAAGCGTAGAGCAGGATAAGGGAGACAAAAGTCAAAAGATAGCTTATCCTTAAAAAACATTGCACACCAATTTCCGACCCTCTATCTCAACCAGAGTAAATTCGAATTATTAGTTTTAGTCTCATTTTCCCTATTTAATGGTAAATAAAAATTGTAAAAAAATTCGGAGACATTTTTGACAAAGCATTGTATGGCTGAGAATTTGTTGAAATTTTTCCTTTTCAAATTCTTAGCATGAAAAATGAAAAATCCTCCAAAAAATAGAAAACTGTAGATTTCGCAATTAAGCATTCGAGCGTCAACTTTTTAATTTTTATAGTAATAGATATATTGGTATGACAAACATTCCCAATTTTTTCAAATTTTTTGGTCTGCTGCGCTATCGTCAAACAAATGAAAAACTAATTTGTAGACACGTACAATGTTTTTTATGGATAAGCATCGATGGAAACTTTCGCGAAAAAAATCGGTCTAAGAGTACTTTCAACACCCTTATCGTGCTATATCCTTTTATATGATGTTTAAATATTTATTTCTTTGAAAAAGAGCATATATATTGCTGTTTTTAGTTGCACACTGAAATTACTAGCACTTTTGCGAGAAAATGTTTTTGAAAATATTGATAATATAGTAGGTGCTCTTACCATACATCGCCCGACGCGACTGTATTTGGTTGCATCACTATTTACTTGATAAATATAAATATAATTATCCCTGGAACCAAGCGCCAAAAGCGTACCATCTGGTGAAAATCGCACAGCCTAAAAATTAAATTGTACAAAATGTATAATTTCAATCAGAAGTAATGCTACTGCGAGTTTTATGCATCTTTGAGATACGTGATTGCGTTTAATGTAAAATGTAAAATATTAAAAACATGTAAAGTAGGAAACTTTAGAAAAATGTAAAGTAGAAAACTTTAGAAAAGTTCATTCTTAATTTATTAACATTTTTCAGAACAGAAATATGTTCCTACTTTTTCTTATACATATTTCCTTGAATTACTTTTGGAAAATTTGATTCTGCATAGAAATCCATAATTTCAATAGTTATTTTGAAATATGCAGGATGTTATTGAGATTTGATAAACTTATTATTATACCTGAATGGGTTCTGTTCCATCGCTATGATGGGTATACAATTCTCGTGTCTCACTGTCGATCGCTAACCATTTTCCAGAAGTGCATCCAACTACTATCACGTTACCATCCGGTGAGAAGCCAAGACTTTGTGCTTGTTCCTAAATGAAACAACATTATATTTGATTATTTAAATTATTGGAGTTCAATATTCATTTTTTTAGTCTTTCAAAGTGAAAAATATAAACTTTTATAGTTAATTTAAAGTAATGCTTGCAATAATGATTAAACTATACTTTAAATACAATTTTAATATAAACAATTTTGTTTTTATAAGAAAACTGTTTATTTTTTTAAGATAATTAGTTTCAATGAAAGTACTGATTGTATTTCTTTGCCACTTTTTAAATACAGAAACAAAAGAAATTCGTCATAAAATTTTGTAAAACTACCCTGTAAAATCTAACAAATTTTTAAGCTGGCTTAAAATATAAATTTTATATTAAATTTTGGAGTACAGAGCGATTAAGATTATGATCAAATTGTTGACATAGTAAAAATAGAAAAAAATAGTAATGTTCAGTCGTTTTTAATTTACATGATAAATTGTGTTTTAAAAATCTTAGTAAAAATTGTATATTAAAATTTCGCATTTAAACAGAAATAAACTTGAAGAAAGGTATGCAGTATTAAATAATGAACTGTGCAATTATGACTGGTTGATAATTAGATTACTGGGTAATTATCGTAATAATTATTAAGTACTAAGAAATAATTACTAGATTATTACGTAATTTATACTAACACCAATGTCTTTACTCCAAACAACAGTGTGACTAAGACTGTCCCACATTTGCAGCAACCTATCATGGCCAGCAGTTGCAAATTGCGGTAATGTCGGATGTGCAGCAAGGCCCCAAACTTCTTCGGCATGACCTAACATGGCCGGGTTGAATCCCATTCCCACATCGCCGACTAAAATGCAATTTCTTGTTGTCCCAATTAGTAATTGTGTACCTTTGCCCTCTGCAAGCGTACGAATTCCTCCAAAATGATCCTCAATCTGTCGAAAAAAATTATATTAAATATCGAATTTTAAGAAAGCAGTATTCACAGCCTAAAATTCGTTTCAGAAGTGAAACTAATCGATTATGTAAAAATTCCGTTGATTCTATGCAGTTCAAGGCTAAACATAGCCATTTTTGAAGAATAGTTTAGATAAAACAGAATTGCTTATTTCAGTGGAAATATAAATTCATTTAATAATTTCTTCTAATTTAACTATAAAAGTAACATTCAAATTCAACTGTTTAACAAAAATTCTTTATCTAGAGAATATTATTTATTCAACAATTATTGTTGATTCAAATTATTCAATTTTTTTATAATCTGTTATAAAGGATTTTCATTATCAATTTGATATTTAATTATACAAGTTCATCCTACTTTTGTTATATCCTACATATTCTGCTATTTAGAAGAAACAATTGTCTTATAATTTGGAATTTATTAAATGTTTTGAAAAGTAATTTGAAGGAACAACATCGAAGTAATTAAAAGCAAGAATTACTATAGAATCTTCAAATGCTTACTTGTGCTTCCTCTCCAGTCAAATTCAAGGATTCATCGAAATATAATATTTTGCCATCTTTGCCGCCACCAGTGACAATAAAACCGTCTTTCAGAACACAAATCGAGAATATGGACCCTTCGTGAATGTTCCTTACTAACTTGGCAATTGTATTTGTACCTGAGGAAAATATTTTGAACAATGAAGGTGATAAAAATTTGAATGAAGTTCTTAAGATAAAATTGCTCTTGTTTTGTAGATATAATATCAAACTGTATAGACTAACATTTTCAAAGATGTATCTAGATTTTTCATGACTATCATAGATCGGTAGTTATCACAAAAAATTGTATCTTTTCAATCAAAATATTATTTCATTTCGTACCTCAAAATTTCATATAGGAAATAAAAGACTTTACGTTGCTCGTCGATAATGATTTTTGTTTTATATCATTGTATGTGTTAAAAATATTAATAAAATATAAAGCGACGCATAATAATTACCAAAAATATTTATACGTGTAACATTCTTTATTTAGAAATACTTTACTGTTTCATTATACAAAATAATTACTGTTCACTTATGTTTCATTTATAATTGATTTATGTGTATATCTCATTCATTAACATTATTTCTACTGAAGGTGTCAAAAGACGCCTGTTGAAATTTTAACTTAAAATTATTTTCTCAGTTTAATCATTTTTTCTCAATTGAATTTTCGACATTTCTTATAGTTAATTTTATAATTGTTATTGGAAATGTCGAAAAGTCAATTCAGAATATACGACTAAACTTGGAAAATAATCTTAATTTTCTTTAAATTCATTATTTGTTAATAATCTTCAAACAAACAGTTCTTAGAATTAGTAGTATCAATTATCATAAGGAGAAAGAAAGAAATTCATACTGATCCACTGTACCGTCAAATGGTACTTCCTCACGACTTAACACAAGAACTACCGAGCGTTTAATAAGATTAATATGTACTCCTTATATAAATGTAATAATAGATTTCTTCGATTTCTTCACATGTTAATTACAGTATTTAAATGAAACTATTTATTTTTAAAATCGTTTCATTAACACCTTTAAGATCGCAACAATTACAAAATAAAAAAACTGAAACCCGTCATTTTAACGGGCGTGGTAGTTTTATTATTGAAAAACAATTATAAAAGATAGTTTCTCCAATTAGATTGAAAACAAAATTTTCTTTTCTCGCAAGCACTATGTAGGAAATATATGACTCGCTCAAAAGCCAATGCGGTTAAGTCGATTCTTTGATATTTTCTAGTTTTTGTTCATTTTAATGGAATAAATAATATTCTTTTTAGTGATTTTTAGTGATATTGTATAGTCATTTTGGAAGTCAAAACATTAAGGTTCTCAATTTTTCTTCCCTGAACTTAACCGCGTTGGCTTCTAAGCGACTCATGTAGGATTGGTATCTCTTACCTCTGCCCCAGACGATAATATTACCGTTGCTGTCGCCAGTTAGAACATCACCACTTTGATTGAAAGCTACGCAAGTTACGTATCTCGGTTTTTCTCTACTTTCGAAAATGCCCATTCGTTTGTACAGCATACCGCCGTTATCGAGGGACCAAAACGACACGTGTCCCTTACCGCAAGATACAATCTGATTCCGTTCGAGCGGATGCCATTCAGCACATACCACAGTGTCGACTGAACACTGAAATTGAAAATTGACGTTGATTATTTTTCGATAGTATGTACTGTTAAATCGTGATTTACTGTTATCGTGTACCGCGACAATCACTCGTCATTCAAGTCATTTATAAATCAAATTGATTAGCTTCACTTCATAAATATTTTCAAGTTTTAGCGCAATTTATGTACCTACGTAATTCTGTCAAATTTTCCTATCTTTCGTTTCGCGAAGTAAATCACATTGTCAAATGAATGGTTGAAGATCATTACAGTATCAGGACAAAACAAACTAAAAAACTTAAGATTATTTCGATATACAAAATTTTGAATACAACAAAATTAAAATATATTCACCGAGTCTTATTGAGTACAGTATATTTTCCATAGAACAAATTATTATTCGAACAAGAAATAATGAGTTATTTTCAGGGAAAATGTATATTAATTCTGTATAGTTAAATTGAATATACACATATAATTACAAGGTAAACAACCATTAGTACAATATAATATTCTAAGAAATCTTTGATTTTTCCCTCTTCTTCAAATTATGAATATCATTAATTCTGTTTATAATAATGAATGCGTAATAAATAATATATAAGTAATGTAGCCGATACATTCTATATAAAATAATTCATATATCATTGCAAATATTTGTTTATTAACTATCATATTAACATTAACATAATATTATCCATTAATGAAAACGTACCTTCGTCTCGGTTACTTTGGTACCTCGTTCTCCTTTCTGCCAATCCCAGATCGAGATGTTATGATCGGATGTCTCGTCTATCGCGCACAAGTAATTTCCACCATCTGCCTTCGAAAACGAGAGGCAGCAAATGGAACCATCGAATCCTCCATTACCAATTACGCAGAGCGTGGTTAAACTGACCGAATTCCATATTCTTATATGTGGCTGAGGGGAGTTCATAAATCGTATCAATTAATATCTTTCGATGATACATAGATCTATAATATGTTTAAAGAAAGTGTACTCAAGATGAAACATCATTTTTATTCTTAATTCAAATATAATTTCCTCTTCTTTGTTATATGTGCATGTTTTAATAGTGTATTAACATTTGAGTCTCCCAGAAGCCAATACGATTAAGTCTAGGAAACAAAAATTGATAAAATTAATATTTTGATTTCTGAAATTGTTATACAACATATTCAGAAACTACAGAAGGAAGGGCTTTCTGATCTAGAATAAATGATGGAACAAGTAAATCCTTTAATAAGTAAAAAGAATATTATTTATTCCATTAAAATTTATAAAAATCAGAAAATATAAAAAATTTACTTAACCGTATTGACTTCTCAGCGACTCATTTATCAGTGAATAAGTAAGGTAAAAATAAACATACACACAAAACAGTTTAACAAGAATTAGACCCTTATCAGCTCAGATCTGATATATCAAATTAAATCTCTTATTTTTAATATTCTTTGTTTATCAAATAAATTTCTTAACAATACAATTCAATAAATATTGTATTTTGAGCATCATAAATTTTACAATGAAACGTGTGGCTGTCAAATTATTGAGACAACAAAGCATTTTATATAACATTTCATATCTAGTATCTTTCTTATTTATGTAAATTATCCCACAACAGTTTGAAAGCATGTTATAATGTTTGAAAAAGTAAAATAGTTTTCAAATGTATTTGTTTTCTAGATAAATTATATAATACATGTTAAAAATGCGAATCGCATACAGTACTACAAAGTTTTGTGGAAACTAATATATTCGTGTATATTTTATACTCTTACCATGGCATCTCGTCTGTCAGTTCCACACACTTGGCCTGTAGCAACTATCAATTTGTTTGGGTGAATAGCTATGCTGAAATGCACAGATTAAAATAAATATGTTTAGATGTACAAACTTTAAATTTATACTTGTACGTGATTTACGACGTAAATCTTAAAAGAATTTGTGTGAGTAGATATTTAACGGTCCTTAGTTTCCATGAAATTTAATTTCGTGAAAGGAACTAAAATTTTCAATTTTAAAAATTACTTCTGCATTAATTATAAAATTTGTTTTTATTATTTGTCGAACTTAATCGAATTCAATTATGGTTTAATTCAGCTATGGTTTAAAAGTTTGCTGATTTCCAGTTTCCTTAAATAATTTATGCAGTATCTTGCGTTAAGTGCAACAAGATAAACAAAAAATACGAGGAATGCGTTTTCTTCCTTCAAGATAGTACGTTCGAGCACGTTTCTTTTTATTCTCGTTTAAACTAATGATAGCGCTTCACACTTAGAAAGCTGTTGATTGCCTTTCATAAGTTTCCTCTTGTAAGGACGTTCGGGCGATAATTAAAAACATTTCGGTTCTAGGAGTAGTTATTATAGACAGTAATGAGCCTCTTTGCAATTCTGAATGATCAAATGCACGTTATGTATCTACAAGTTGTTAATTATGATGAACGGGGTACGAATTATTTAATTTACGTTTCCTGATCGCCCAATCAATTACTACCATTCTCTGTATTGGAGGTTGAAATTAAGTAGGCAACTATTTAACTCATATAGTCGTATAATTCTAACTTGTGGGAAATTTGATGAAGCTCGACAAGTAATAAGAACAGACTTTATAATTAATACACAAGTAATTTTTAAAATTGAAAATACACAAATTTGTTTTATACTTTTTCGCATAAGCCTTGTCATCATTTAAATACTTGCAAACTAAACATTCTAAACTGGGTCAATTTGACCAATCTGGTAGTTTTAGTGTTTTTCTTGGAAACTAAGGGTCGTTAGATATCTGGTTACGCAAATTCTTAAAAAAGCAAGCGATTCTGTGGAATCGTTCTAATGAATAGTCCTTAATCTTTATGAATTCAATTACCGTACCACTTTATGTCATCCGTGTGTCCCAAGTAATGCCTCTGGCTGTGTTCCTCCATGTTGTACAGGACCACCACGGCCGCGACAAAATAAACAATTTCCCCTGTCGGCAACAGATGCAGATTACTTCGACAGTCTCTGCCACGATAACCATAAACCCAGTTAAGCTTCAGCTTGCTCTGCGGTGGTGTGCTAACTTTGCGAAGATCGTAGGACTCCATTAACGGTGTTGGCACGTAGAGGATCACCGGTCGTCCTCTCAGGTACATGCGGACAGTACTTTCTTCCTCGTTGTACTGCATGTCTCTGGTGCTGTGAACGACAGACATTTATTTTCATTTCTTTTTTAACAAGCATTATTGTAATGTAGCTGGAGAATACACTGGCGAAGGAGGTCATTCTTTGTACAAGGTGTAGCTGAACACGTGAGATGATACTTTAGGGCCACCCTATCTAAAATGTGTAATCGAATACAAGTTTGGTCATTTGTGTTTGTTGTTCAGTGATATATTATGTTACTAAATTATTTATTGTATCACTGAATTCAGTAATACAATGTATAGTAATATATTTATACATTATTTATAACAAATAATTGCTTTCTATGATAAATATATTATATTAATATATTTTATAATAATCAATGCTGGATCCATATTTGTTATAGAAATTACTGTCCGTCAAAAGAAAGGTAAGCTAAAAATAAATAGATATGTGAGTCAAATGTGAATAATATGTCAGTTATTTGTGTTTGTGTACATTTACGTTAACACAGTTTATTTTTATTTATTAAGATTTTAATAGTATCAATTATAAACTGTCTCCTAAAGTAATTAGTAATTAATGTTTATAAAAAGTATATTTCTAGAATAGAACATAAAGAATAAAAAATACTTATTAAAGTGACAGCATATAATTTTTAGATTTAAATGTGTTACAGTTAATAAACATTTGCTATAACAAACACAAACAATTTCGTAGAAAACATAAAATATACGTGAAAAGTTATTCTCAATATAAATAATGCTTTAGAAGGTTATAGTTTAAGTATAATTGCAACTATATATAAGCAATTTTATTTACTTCTTTATACGATAGCGCAAATTTTAAAACTAAATTCCTTCCTAATGATATATAGAACAAAAAGAAGTTTAAGTAGCGGAAAATTAATGGAGATTAATTAGAAAGTAACATACACGAAGAAATTACATGAATCAAGAAAAACTAACTTTATTACACGTAAACAACACAAAAAGTTAAAAATGCATTTTATTTAGATATCTAATATAGTATTCAGCGTAGATAAATACATATCATAAAGCAGAGATAAAATTATTTATATAAAGTGAAATTAACCGAATATTGAAAGTTGAAGTTATTTACTAATGTATTTAACAAATAAAGCCCAAAAACAGGTACATAAAAAAAATTACAATTTATTGAAATTTTAATAAACAAATGAAATAATCGAAATATTAGGGGGACTGGAAGGAAGTTCATTATTTTTAGTTTTAACAGAAAGCTTTATTATTTCGAATAAAATTTTAAATATAATTTCATAAAGTGGATTTGAAAAGTGGAATGCTAGACAGGAAACCGCTCGAAAATAAGGCGGAAATTATATTTTGAATTAATATTTAAAAATGTACGTAAAACGATAAAGCTTTCTATTCGGACTAAAAATAATGAACTTCGTTCAGTCGCTCTAATAATTCTTGAATTAATAAAAATATAGTACGTTTATTAAGTAAAAAATAAAGTAATACAAGTGAGTTAGAAAGTTCGGTAAATTGTGTGCAATTTCAAAGAAATGATCAAGAATTCAAAATAGATTTTTATACACATACTAATATTTGGGATAGTGACTTTGCAGGTTGATAAAAAGGGGTTTGTAGTTTCTAGGTTAGATCTTCTTCTGCCTTGCTTGCTTTAGGAATTATTCTACTGGATGGAATCAACGGATTATCTTATTATTTCTTCTTTTCTTCGTTGTGGTAATATTATAATTATGATAATCCTGTAATATAATATGCATGTAGAATGAAAAGACGAATAATCCATTGTTTCCGTGCAGTAGAATAGCTTCCGAAGCGTGAAGACCAATCACTTAAACCAAATTAAAAAATTGTTTATATCATCCAAACATTAATTTTTCAGCCTATGTTTGTTAGTACCTTTTTCTCCATTTTTCTAATACCATCTATCTCTTTTTTTATCACCTTGTAGCTATAAGCCAGAATAAAACAAAAATTAAAAATAATAAAATTATAACAGAACTTTTATTTTCACATGATTTCACTCTGTTTTTATCATTTATCGTTTATTTACTTCTTCTAATATTTCTGTCAACTGTCAGATAATACCATAGGATAATGTAGTTAGAAATAAGACAAAATCAAAAACAATAATATCTATATCTCTTAATCATTGTTGAAAACTTTAAACTTTATATTAAAACTAGATTTATGTAATCCATCAATTTGATGGATATTAATTTTCATAAAAATTTGTCGATAAAGAGCTATATCAATTTTGACCGAAATAATTATAGAAATGTAATACGTACCCCAATCCTCTAAAACCTCTAATTTCCAAGATCTATATGATCAACCTTTATTATTCCAGGAAAATCATTTCCATCACAAATATGAATCCGACATTGATTATTAAAAAATATATTAACATAATATATTTATTATAAATCAATTACTTATTATAAATAATTGATTAATAAAATTATTCCAGGCTTTAAATTATGAAAAATATATTATAGAGGAATGTAAGGGTATAACCGATTGTTAGATACAATTGTTATATGCAAGGTATATGAACAAATCTGTGAATCGTACATGATCTCCGAGTCAGATAGAATTTAAATGCAAATATCGTGTTAATTAAACGTACATTGCGTTCGATAACATTATATATAATAACATATGAATGATGAAACTAGATACACAAACTGATTAGTCGCGCAGCGGATTCTTCCGCTTATTATTAACGCGATACGGATTCTTCCGCTTATTACTAATACATTGGGAATTCTTCCGCTTCACATTCTCGCGGTGCGAGCTCTTCCGGTTCAGATTCTCGTTACACGGATTGTTCCGCGAATTTTCGTGAACGGTTCTATAATCAATTTAACGAGTCGATAGTTTATAAATAAATGAGCAATAAAAACTAAATGTATGTCGGTATTAAACTGTTAATTGAGAATTATCAGTTACGTTCTTGTATCTTTACATCATACAACATTTAGTATTGAATAATAGATTTTCTAATGTTGCTGCAATGGCGGTTAAGAATCGAGTGTAAAGGGTTAGCACATTGATTATCATAGTAGTCGCTGGTGATTGTAACTTCAAAATTTCTTAAAAAGGAATTACATTGGGAAGATTGATGTCGCATAGAAATATTTGATAACGTAATTAACTAAATAATAGTGCAGTGTAGAATGCAACAGTTTATACAGAATGATTAACTCGTCATATGTAAGTCATATGCAAGGACCTTTTTCGTTTTATAGCTTCGATCATAGTAAAGTACTTCTATTTCTCAAAAAATTACCCTATGCTTGGTGCAGCAGGGATTAGTTTAAATAATTATGGAGAAATAAAAATATTTCTAAAATTTTTTTCTGAAAATTATAAACTGAATGTATTTCTTTTATTTATTACTTTTAATTTTGTTCAGTGTAATGATTGCACTATTTTGTAATTTAATTAAATATAGTTATATATAATTTAATTAAATAAATTTTATACTAGGACATTATCTAAGAGGAAGTGTACATCGAAAAAATGTGCAAAATAATAACTACAGCTTTCGCACTGGTGAAAGGAAAAAATTCCTTACATTCGGCCATATTCTTATATAGTTCCCAAGTACGAGATTGTATTTCTCCTTGAAAACATATTTTTATATATTTAATTTCCCTGTATTTTTAAAATAAAATTTCTAGTTCGACAAGAAATTTCGACTGAAATTTTCCAATAAATGCTTTTATATTCCTATTTTTCAAACAATTTTATAATTTACAAAACATGGAAGCATTTCCTTCATTATAAGAACAAATAGGATTAAACAGATTATTTCTACTTTTAAACAAACCATCATAAGTAAAAGTAATTCACTTATCAATTTATTATTGCAATAAAAATTTAAGCAAATATTATTTCCATAAAGCCTGTACCTTTTCAATTTGTTCAAACAATCCGTCACACCTGACAGTAACGTTTTGTGTATCAGGAATTTGCGAAGTACCGGTGCAACTGTTTCAATCGTTAAAATAGTTTCCACATCACCTACGACGCAAACGTGTCTCGTGATCGTTAATTCAGCATCCGTCAACCGGCAGTGACGTTACGGCGCACCGTTCCGAAAAATGACAACTCCTCGACAGGTAAGTAATTAGTCTTCCTTTTCGCAGATGTTTCACGTGTGCCACGAGTGAGGTCGATCCGAACTGATTGAAATTGCAGAACTTTTCACGACGATGTGCTCTCGAAACCGACAAAGAGTGACTCACGCGAGCCCACTTTTATTACTCGACGAAGCGTACTGTTTCGCGCGTTACCGCGTTACGTCACTTTTACGTTCCTTTTTGCCATACGTCTGCTCGCCTCGACGGCATTACGATCAAGGACTGCCCGGTATTCAAGGCACACTTTACGATTCATCCGAACAACCTAGTCGAAACTGGACGTTTCGCGAAGGATTCCTCAGACCGTTTATTCCTCTCCATTTAGATTGACCGGCGTTTTTCTCCTAGTAATCGCGACCGTGAACTACTTACACCAAGCGTTGGGCAAAAGTTGTTCGAAATAACGAACAAAGGATAGGGAATAAATCAATCTGATTGTTATTTGTGAATAGTTCATATGTCTGTAATTCACGGATAATAAATAAATTTGATTTACTCGACACTTTTTATTTGCCATTTGGAAAAATTGTTCGATGTTGCATATAAAGTAGAGGATAATTATTCAAAGAAGGTTTACAATTATCTGTAAATAATTAATAAATTCGTAATTTATGGATAATGGATGAATTTAATTTATTCGTAATTTTTTATTTGTTATTTTGAGTAATTGTTGCTCAATGTTGCAGATAAAAAAGGGATAATTATTGAATGAAGAAATACTGATAAAAGAAGAAATTTGTAATCAGTTAAATTTGAAAATGGGAATAAGAAGCGACGAACAGTAAATAAAGAATAAGCGTTCTCCAAGAAAATAACGAATAACTTAAATACCAAATAGCCGAATAATGATTAATTATTTGTTCGTTATTGTTATTCAAATAACGTTTTA